GAAAGCTTGAGCATCAACGAAGATAATAAGTAATTATCACAGCCAAAAATAGTAAATGAAACTATTCTTTAAAAAAAAGATGGATGTGCATCTTGGAATGGAGGAAACTAGGCATCATTATTGAGTGTGACACCTTCTGTTTGGGACTGCTGAAAGGCCAAAAAGAAAATGGGGGTATTTGGAGACACTCACTGAGGCTCGATAATGCCAGGCAAGTTATGAAAAGCCCAGCTCTTGGTTGAGCCCAACAGGTTTTATGGATCCAGTCTAGCTGGACAGGAAACTGACTCTCTAGTACACAAACACTTATTGTGTGCCAGGATCCTCAGCACATTCAGGGTGGGGGGTGAGGAGCAGACACATTCTGCTGGCCCATGCACACCCCTGATAATGTTGCTGGGAAAAGCAATCTCCCTTTCCCACTGCAAAGACAGACAGACAGATCCAGTTCTGTTGTGAGTCATAAAAGTGAACGCTTTTTGTTCTGTGACTGGGAAAAAGGAGAAGGAGGAAGAGAGAACTGAGGCAAGAGGATGGGGCCAGACAGAAGGGAGAGAAGATCAGGAGAAAACAAGATGGCATTTCCCTCCAAGTCTCTTCAACTAGTTGTGGAAGCTGACAAGTAATGAAAAGAACCTGATGGAGCCATCCAAAAGGACAGGGTCAAAATTGAGGTGAAGGCAGGGCTGCTGCAGGGCCAGGAAAAGCAGACACAGTGAGCCTGGACTTGAAGAAGTGTCCTCCCCAGCTGGCAGGGCTCAGGCAGACCTCTGATGCCCAAGGATGGGACACTCAGAAGCACTCAGAGTTGGCAGCGCTGGCATGGGCAGACCTTATCTGATTGTCACAAGCTTCCATAGCAGCAAAGAGCAGTGGACGTGGTTGAGTGGCAGCCTGACCACAAGGGAAAGGTCACGTTAACCTGTGTGATCCCAGGACCCACACAGTGGCATGCACAGAGTAGGTGTGATACCGAAGAATCAGCTCAATCAAGAACCTTAAAAACAGGATATCACAAAGTTGTTTTTTTTAAAAAAAAAAAAAAAGAGAAGTCCAGAAATAGACACATACAGACTTTTTTTTTTTTTTTTTTTGCTGCTCTGAGTCTTCATTGTGGTGCAGAGGCTTAATTGCCCCATAACATATGGGCTCTTAGTTCTCTGACCAGGAACTGAAGCCCTGTCCCCTGCTTTGGAAGGCAGATTCTAAACCACTGGACTGCCAGGGAAGTATCACAGATAAACTTTTTAATATGATAAAGGTGGCATCTGAGGGATTTCTGTGGCAGTCCACTGGTTAAGATTGTGAGCTTCCAATTCAGGGGGCATGGATTCAATCCCTGATCATGGAACTAAGATCACTCATGCTATGGGGCATGGCCAAAAGAAAAAAAAAAGACAGCATTTGAAACTGATGAGGAGATGGGCTATTTTATATATGATGTTGGGACAACTTGGTAGCCATCCAGAAAAAATAAAGTCAGATGTATATTTGAATTCAAGTCCTAGGACACATGCGAAGTAGGTTAGAGATGGAAATACAAAAATATCAACAATTCAAAGGATAATGGGCAAAGGATATGAACACTCAATTCACAGAAAATAATAATGAATTTCAAGCAAACGAAAAATTGTACAACCTTGCTCACAGTAAGAGATAACATTGGATAGTATGCAAAAGTTTGATAACACGGTTGGGCAAGGCTGTGGGAAACAGACACTGGTTGAGAAGTCTGTCTGTGGTCTTCCAGTCTCTGTTCTCGTTTATCATTTTCAACTCCCTGGCATCAATGATAACTGGGTCTATAATGAGACTGGAGGACACTTGGACAAAGGCCCGCCAGTCAGCCACACCCCTGATGTTGCCTGAATTTTTATAGGCACTTTGGTCTGTAAGCATGGATGTGATCTGGCTGAGGGGCACTGACTCACATTAACCAAACTCACAAGGTGGTGAGTGAACCAGAAGGCTAAGTCAACCATTTACAAAGGGAGATACTCCTTTGCAATCACAGACCATGCATGTCTTCAACCCATGGCACCCCATTCCAAAGGTCAAAATACATAGGAAACTTAATTAGTGAACACAAGATGGCCTGATAAACATGGAAGCAAGCAGCAATGTAGTGAAACACAGTATCATCATAATTGCTACAAGCCGGGAGGTTCGCTGATCTCTTTCTATTTGTACAAATTGCATTATTTAATATTTATGCATGTATTTATTTAGGCAAAATATATTAAGTGCCTAGTATATGCCAGACCTTATTCTAAAGATTGAGGATATAAATGTGGATAAAACAAAGGTCTCTGTTCTTCAGCTTACATACTATTAGGCTAAAAGCAACATATAAATGTATAAAATGTTAGATGATACATGCTACGGAGTAAAATTAAACCAGGTAAGGGACAGTAGGGGCCCTGGATGAGTGAGGGAAGATTAAGCACAGGGTTACATGTTAAAGTTTTCATTTTCCAGATGAAGAGGTTAAGCTACAGAGAAGTGACTTGCCTGAGATATTTTCCCTAATGCTTGCTCTTACATGTTAACTATATGCCAGGCATGTCTCATAATTCCTAAGATTATGTCTAGTAATTTCTCATCTCGTTATCTCCAATTTACAGATAATATACTGAAGACAGAGGGTTAAGTGAGGAGGTCAAGGTACGACTAGGCCATGTGATTATTAACAGGTAAACAGGGATTAGAGGCCGGGTGTTCCAAGTCTCTGCTCTTAACTGCTGCACCAGACAGCTTGTTCTTATCTCTCTACAGAAGACCTGTGTGTCAGGCTCAGCAACACTTACTCTTATACTGGGCTGGACACACAAGAATGGCTCTTTCTTTGCCCTTTTCTAGGTCCCATACTCTTGGCTTCAGATGGATTTGTCCTCTTCCCCTGTGTGGTCTTAGGCAGAGCTCCTTAACCTCTCTGTCTCAGCCAATTCATCTGTAGGTAAACTTTGAAAGTCTGATATAAGGAAAACACTTGGTGCAAACCTTGGCCCAAACAGTGTTTCTTATTGCGTCATCTCTGCGATACAGTTGCTTAGTTGTCTCAGTGTCACAGCTATGCCACCTTCATTGGAACCTCATTGGTTGGACACCAGGACCCACATTCTGGATTACTAAACCAAGGTCACCTCCTTAGCTCCCTTTGTATGCCCTCAAGTTGGATTCAAGATTGCTGGGAGAATCATCAATAACTTAAGATAAACAGGTGACACTACTCTGATGGCAGAAAATGAAGAGGAACTAAAGAGTCTCTTGATGAAGATGAAAGAGGAGAGTGAAAAAACTAGCTTAAAACTCAGCATTCAAAAAACTAGGATCAGTAGCATCCGGTCCCATCACTTCATGGCAAATAGATGGAGAAACAATGGAAACAGTGACAGACTTTTCTTGGGCTCCAAAATCACTGCAGATGGGGACTGCAGCCATGAAATTAAAAGACACTTGCTCCTTGGAAGAAAAGCTATGACAAACTTAGTGTATTAAAAAGCAGAGACAGGGGGACTTCCCTGGTGGTCTGGTGGTTAAGAATCTGCCTTGCAGTGCAAGGGACAACAGTTCGATCCCTGGTCTGGGAAGATCCCACATGCCAGGGAGCAACTGAGCCTGAGCTCTAGAGCCCACATGCTGCAACTACTGAAGCTGTGTGCCTGGAGCCCTTGCTCCACAACAAGAGGAGCCACTGCAGTGAGAAGCCCTTGCGACGCAACTAGAGAGTAGCCCCTGCTTGCCACAACTAGAGAAAGCGCGAGTACAGCAATGAAGACCCACCATAGCCATAAATAAATAAATCTTTACAAAAAAACAAATAAATAAAAATAAAAAGCAGAGACGTTACTTTGCCAACAAAGGTCCATCTAGTCAAAGTTATGCTTTTACCAGTAGTCATGTATGGATGAGCAAGTTGGACCATAAGGATGGCTGAGCACCAAAGAATTGATGCTTTTGTACTGTGGTGTTGGAGAAGACTTGGGAATCCCTTGGACTGCAAAGAGATCAAAACCAGTCAGTACTAAAGGAAATCAATACTGAATATTCATTGGAAGGACTGATGTTGAAGCTGAAACTCCAATACTTTGGCCACCTGATGTAAGGAGCCAACTCATTAGAAAAGAACCAGATGCTGGGAAAGATTGAAGGCAGAAGAAGGTGACGACAGAGGATGAGATGGTTGGATGGCATCACTGACTCAATGGACATGCATCTGGGCAAGCTCCAGGAGATGGTAAAGGTCAGGGAAGCCTGCGTGCTGCAGGCCATGGGGTCACAAAGAGTTGGACACGACTGAGCGACTGAAGAACAACCACCCCACAAGATAGGCTTTAAGTTTTCCAACTATCAGCTGGGGAATTAGAGCTCTGAAGGTTAAGGGGTTTGCCCTAGGGGCTTGCAACCGGGGCAGGGCGGGGGTTCTGACAACAGGGCAGCAGTACTCGGAGGGCCAGATCTGGGGTCTCAAGTTCTCTTGATAGCCCCTGGCAGGCGACAGTAGACAGACACTCCCAGACTCCCAGCCTCCGAGTGGGTTATGGCTGGACAGAGCCAATCCGTGGGACCCTGTTGCTTTCACAGTGAAGACCAGATGACTTTTTTCGTACTCAGACCAGTCGGCTGGTCAGTTTCACAGGGCCCCTCGATTCGCCCAAACCCAACATGTCCAAAACCTGCCTTTCCGCACGAGCCAGTGCCAAGGCAGAGCTCCGCCCCAGCCCAGCTTCCGCTCATGCGCGCAGAAACCGTGAGGAGAAGCGGGCTGTCTACCCGCAAGGCTACACCCACCCTCGCGGAAAGGGCGGGGCATACAAATTAGAAATGGCGCCTCCGTTAGGGAATGACAAAGTTACAACAGGTATATAAATTCTCTCCTATAATGTAGAGAATAAGAAATCTGCACGAGAGTCCAGTACAGTACCATTCACAGTAGTGTCCACGAAGCAAAGGCAGGGAGACCTGGAGTGAGCGGGGAGCCGGATCACACTGAGTGTAACATGCACGACAGCAGGACGGTGGCAGCGACGGGAAGCGACTCGGTATCGCTTCTCGGCCTTTTGGCTAAGATCAAGTGTAGTATCTGTTCTTATCAGTTTAATATCTGATACGTCCTCTATCCGAGGACAATATATTAAATGGATTTTTGGAGCAGGGAGTTGGAATAGGAGCTTGCTCCGTCCACTCCACGCATCGACCTGGTATTGCAGTACTTCCAGGATCGGTGCACCTCTTTGGGGGCATATCTTTGGTGATAAAGGTTGACTTAAACAGTTTTTTAGTACTTGACTTCCTTGTGGTTCAGACGGTAAAGTGTTTGCGCATGGATGGAAGATCCTGCTAGAACTACAGTCCATGGGGTCACAAGGAGTTGGACTGAGCAATTTCACTCTACTTTTCTTTTCTTTTTTCAGTACTTAGTTGATTGTGGGGTTAAACGTTAGTCTATACTGTCAAAGTTAGTGAAGTCGCTCAGTCGTGTCTGACTCTTTAACTCCATGGACTGTAGTCCTACCACGCTCCTCTGTCCGTGGGATTTTCCAGACAAGAATACTGCAGTGGGTTGCCATTTCCTTCTTCAGAGGATTTTCCCAACCCAGGGATTGAACCTGGGTCTCCTGCATTGGAGGTAGATGCTTTACCATCTGAGCCACCAGGCACTTGTAAACAGTGTTGAGTTTCAGGTCTCATCATACTTCGAAAAAATTTAGTTTGTAGTGGGGAACCAACACCTTGAGTATTGGTTTTTATCTTATTTATTTTGTTTGTTTTAAGAAGGTTGAAATATGAACTAACACTTCCTCTACTTTAGACTTTCATTCCACAGAACTTTTGTAATTTTTTACTGTCCAGGTTTCAGTGTAATGTACATTGACTCGTATTTTCCATGGTAGGAACTCTTGAAGAAAAAAAAAAGGTGGGAAGGTGCTGGCACACCAGAAATCTGACAAAGTACAGTGAACTTAGAAGAGAAGTGACACTGCAGTAAAACAAGAAAGGCTGCGATGTTCAGGGGTTCCTATTGTGGAGCACCAGCTGCAACAGTCTCTCATAGTTCATTTCAGTCGCTCAGTCGTGTCCAACTCTTTGCGACCCCATGAACCGCAGCACGCCAGGCCTCCCTGTCCATCACCAACTCTCGAAGTTTACCCAAACTCATGTCCATTGAGTCAGTGATGCCATCCAACCATCTCATCCTCTGTCATACCCTTCTCTTCCCTCCTTCAATCTTTCCCAGCATCAGGGCCTTTTCAAATGAGTCAGCTCTTCGCATCAGGTGGCCAAAGTATTGGAGTTTCAGCTTCAACATCAGTCCCTCCAATGAACACCCAGTCCAGTGAACTAGCAGTCCAAGGGACTCTCAAGAGTCTTCTCCACCACCACAGTTCAAAAGCATCAATTCTTTGGCGCTCACCTTTATAGTCCAACTCTCACATCCATACATGACTACTGGAAAAAGCATAGCATTGACTAGACGGAACTTCGTTGACAAAGTAATGTCTCTGCTTTTCATTTATTTATTTTTTCAGTTATTTTTATTAGTTGGAGACTAATTACTTAACAATATTGAAGTGGGTTTTGTCATACATTGACATGAATCAGCCATGGAGTTACATGTATTCCCCATCCCGATCCCCCCTCCCACCTCCCTCTCTACCCAATCCCTCTGGGTCTTCCCAGCGCACCAGGCCCGAGCACTTGTCTCATGCATCCAACCTGGGCTGGTGATCTGTTTCGCTATAGATAATATACATGTTTCAATGCTGTTCTTTCGAAACATCCCACCCTTGCCTTCTCCCACAGAGTCCACAAGTCTGTTCTGTACATCTGTGTCTCTTTTTCTGTTTTGCATATAGGGTTATCATTACCATCTTTCTAAATTCCATATATATGTGTTAGTATGCTGTAATGTTCTTTATCTTTCTGGCTTACTTCACTCTGTATAATGGGCTCCAGTTTCATCCATCTCATTAGAACTGATTCAAATGAATTATTTTTAATGGCTGAGTAGTATTCCATGGTGTATATGTACCACAGCTTCCTTATCCATTCATCTGCTGATGGGCATCTAGGTTGCTGTCTCTGCTTTTTAATATGCTGTCTATGTTGGTCATAACTTTCCTTCCAAGGAGTAAGCTGTCTTTAGTTTCATGGCTGCAATCACCATCTGCAGTGATTTTGGAGCCCCCAAAAATAAAGTCAGCCACTGTTTCCACTGTTTCTCCATCTATTTGCCATGAAGTGATAGGTCCAGATGCCATGACCTTTGTTTTCTGAATGTTGACCTTTAAGGCAACTTTTTCACTCTCCTCTTTCACCAAGAGGCTCTTTAGTTCTTCTTCACTTTCTGCCATAAGGGTGGTATCATCTGCATATCTGAGGTTATTGATATTTCTCCCAGCAATCTTGATTCCAGCTTGTGCTTCATCCAGCCCAGCCTTTCTCAGTTCAGTTCAGTTCAGTTCAGTTCAGTTCACTCACTCAGTCGTGTCCGACTCTGCGACCCCATGAATCGCAGCGCACCAGGCCTCCCTGTCCATCACCAACTCCCGGAGTTTACTCAAACTCACGTCCATCGAGTCGGTGATGCCATCCAGCCATCTCATCCTCTGTCATCCCCTTCTCCTCCTGCCCCCAATCCCTCCCAGCATCACGGTCTTTTCCAGTGAGTCAATTCTTCGCATGAGATGGCCAAAGTATTGAAGTTTCAGCTTCAGCATCAGTCCTCCCAATGAATACCCAGGACTGATCTCCTTTAGGATGGACTGGTTGGATCTCCTTGCAGTCCAAGGGACTCTCAAGAGTCTTCTCCAACACCACAGTTTAAAATATCAATTCTTTGGCGCTCAGCTTTCTTCACAAGGAGAGGTGAATTGTTTCATCTTTCAACAGTGACCACAGAGAAGAAAGCACAGGGCCTAGTTGGACCTCTCAGAGTTCTGGAAACTTCGAACACATTCTACACAAAAAAATCCTCCCTGGGCTCATAAGCCAGGTGACCCAAAAGATGTTCAGCTTGGAGTTGGGCCTGGGCCAGAAAGGGGTGCAAAGCTAGCAAGTGAGGTGAGGCAAGGCTGCTACTCAGCTCAGCGGACCTGGCAGACCCCATTATCTTAGAGACAGGCAGGTGAGTGAAGGGAAGTAAGGAACTTGGTTGTAAGCTAAAGTGGGGATCGCAGTGCAGGTCCTCAGAGCTCTAGAGCCAGGACACGACACCCACAGCAACAGAGGCTTGTCCATGTTCCCAAAAGCAGCTCCTGGCAAACTACTAGGCATTTGTAGAGATAGATGGCTACCATGGGACAGAGACCATGAGTCACAAACTGTATAGCAGGCCTCCAAGACTGAAAACTTGGTCAGGCCCACAACAGCCAATCTAAGAAGTGGTTTGTCAGCATTGAGCAGGAGGAGGGCACTGGACAATCAACAGACAGAATAATTCCACCAGCATTGGTAGCCGGCCATCCCCGGCCTGGTCCAATGGGCACAAGAACAGTGGGCCACTGTGGCAGGCAACGGAGGACACAATGGGCCCCACACTTCTTGAGGACCTCAATCCTGAACTCCATGGAGTCACAGAGCCCAGTCATTTCTTGGGTTGGGTTGGGTTGGATTGGGTGAGGTGGAAATCTGGACTCCTCTAGCTGCAAGCTTGGTTCAGAACTTCTTTCTTGCTTCCTGCCTTTTATCGTTCAAGGCATTAACCTTCCCTACTGTCAACCTCCTACATTCCTCACTCTGTCTCAGTAAGTCCTTCCCCGATGACCTAACTCATACTATAACTCAGACTCTGAAAGTCAACTGTTTATAAACATTTATATGTTATATCCATTTATATAATTAACATCTACGCAACTTAAAAAAAAACTGGGAAAAAAAATATTTACAAATCTATCACAGGTAGGGTGAATCTCAGTATTCTATGAAGAGACCTGAGAGTGTGATCAGAAAAAAGCAAACCACTCAATAAAATTTGGCTAAAAAATCCCACAGTTCTGGGACTTCCCTGGTGTGCAGTGGTTAAGAATATACCTTGCAATGAATGTAGCAGTGGTTAAATCCCTGGTCACAGAAGACCCCACATGCCACAGGGCAACTGATCCCGTACACCACAACTGCTGAGTCTGCCTTCTAGAGCCTGTGCTGCGACAAGTGAAGCCACTGTGATGACAGTCGCATGTACCACAGCTAGAGAGTAGCCCCCACTTGGCACAACTAGAGAAAGACCACAGGCAGCAATGAAGACCCAGCACAGCCAAAAATAAAAATTGTTTTTTTAATCACAGTTCTTGGGAAAGATAACAAATATCATTGTTTAGAGGCAGAAGAGAGTCATGACAAGAAAGGGACAGAAGGACATCTTCTTAGGAGATAGTAATGCTTTTTCTTAAGCAGAGTGATGGTGACAATTGTGTGTTTACTTTGTGAAATTTAATCAAGTTTTACCCTTAAAATTAACATCATTTTTGTATGCTGTCCTTCAATAAAGTCTTTAAAATTAGTTATAATAAATATGATTTTTCACACAACTATAAAGAGAGAAATGCATATTTCAACAACAATGAGATATAATCTATAACCTGTGAGTTTGGCAAAAATGCAAGAGTCTGACAATGTACCTGGTTCCCCAGGCTGCAGAAACAGGAAATGCTTGGGACCTCTCTGGGTCATCCTAGAGTCCCATCCTGACCTGTTACGCCTAACTCTTTCAGGGCAAGGATATTAGGGACTCTGAGGATACAATACCTTAGTGAAGGCACATGACATCTGGATGAGGTCTGGGGCCAGCAGTAGAATTTCTATCTGAGCAGAGTACAGGGTGTGGTGGGGTTTCCCCTGGTGGCTCAGAAAGTAAAGAACCTGCCTGCAATGCAGGAGACCCAGGTTTGACCCCTGGGTCAGGAAGATCCCCTTGAGGAGGGCATGGAAACCCACTCCAGTGTTCTTGCCTGGAGAATCCCATGAACAGAGAAGCCTGGCGGGCTCCAGTTTGGAATTGCAGAGTCGGACACAACTGAGCAACTAGTACTTTCACAGGGTATGATGGGGAAGGGGTACTAACTCAAGTTAACCAAGCTCCCAAGGGTCCTATGCCTGAACTAGAAGGTGACATAAATCACTTTAATGTGAGACACTCCCCTGCAGGAATGTAACTGTCTGAGGATCAACTCCCAAATACCTGGGAAACCATAAAATGACCACTGAGGAACATGGAACCAAGCAGAGAGATCAGGAATTGGGGAAGCCTGAAGAGCCATTATAATAACCACGTGTCAGGGGCTGGGTAAGTGTGACTGATATAATATCTAGTTTAATACTTATCCACCCACTCGTCCATTCCATAAATGGATGTAGGTGTTGGGCACTAACCTAATGACTGTGACAGAGTGATGGAAAAAGCAGTCCAAGTGAGAATCTTCCCAGTCTTTAGGGTGGAGGGGCAGAAGGGGAGGCAGATAGTAGAATCACAGACAAAGCACACATATAGCATGTCAGGTCTGGTGCAAGCTAGAAGGCAAAACCAGGTTGAGGCATGGAGGAGCATCTCTGGTGGCAGAAGGGAGGGAGATTGCTCAAAACCGGGCCCAAGTTAGATTTTCTTAGGACCAAGATTCACACTGGGAGATGACTGCTCAGAGGAGTGTCTAGCAAAAACTCTCTTTATCCCTAGTGTTTGCAAGTTGAGGGCTGACTCTCACCAGGCATGTCCAGAGGGGACCTCAGAGCTAAACTGTCCGGAAGGTTATTAGGGCTCCCTAAGGAGTGAAATAGATCACTCCCCCCACCCTTCCCCTGCCACGGGAGACAGGGAAAACCCAAGCCGGCAGGGAATCAGAGAGCCAGAAGCCAAGGCAGGCTCAGGTGAGGATTTGACCCCAGGTGCCACCCACCCTTATCAAAACCATGGTGCTGTGGGCCTGGTGCCAGCAAATCCATGTGTGTGCCACCAGCAACCCTGCTGTCCTCCATTGTCGCCTTGCTCTTCTTGTGGCTTTCCCCCTCTTCTCCTGGAAAGTGTGCAGCGGGCGCAGCGACCTCTAGCGCCACAGCAGTTTCTGCAGAGCGACGGGGGCCAGGACAGTGCCAAGGGCCGAGCTAGAAGGGCCCACCACGTCCCTGGGGCGGAGAAAGGCGGGGCATGCAAATTAGGATCCTCCCCTGCGGAAGGATGGGCGGGGGTGCAAAAAGGGATGTGAACGTTATAGACAACTAATGCAGTCAACTGGGCTGGACTCCATCAGTGAGCGGGACCTGTGCTTCAGAACCTGGCAGGTCTTGGAACACCGTGATCAACTCCGCAGGTCAACTGCCTTCTAGCTGAGTGACCCAGGGCAAGTTTCTCAGCCTCTCTGGTCTCATTGATCACGACTGTGAAATGAACATGATAACAGCGTCAATCCTCTCTAGATTGTCCAGGATCCAAGTGGGCTCGATCATAGCAAAGAATGCAGGGCAGTACCTGGCAGGTGGCTGTCGTGAGGTCAGGGATCTTTCCCCTCAGGTTCGACTGAACTAGAGAGTCGGTTAGGGGGAGGGCCAACTGTGATAATCTCACAGACCCTGCAGCTCTCTAGCGGCTTAGCGGAGAATGGAGGAAAGACAAATGCGCCCGCCTGGCGACCCCGGGGTCTCAGTTAAGGAGCCTAGCCATTACGGCGTGGGGGCGGGGGGGGGACGGAGACCCGTTCTCAGTCAAGGCGGTCCCTGCCTCTCCCCTCCCCCGCCCTCGTAATTCTCTCTCTGCTCAAGCTCTGGGCTCTGCCTGGCGGCCCCCGACAAACCCTAATCTCCCAAATGCACAGTCATTATGACCCAGGATTTGCTTTGTGAGCCGGTCTCGTCCTGCAGTTCCCTCCATCGACACCCTGAGGCGGCCAACTGCAAACCCCCTGCGTTCTCCCCGGAGCTGGAAAGTGTGCGGCGAGCGCAGCGACCTCCAGCGCCACAGCAGCTTCTGCAGAGCGGCTGGGGCCAGGAGCAAGTCTGGTGCCGAGGGCTGAGCTGGACTGTGGTGGTCACGCCCCTGAGGGCGGGGCGGGGCGGGGTATGTAAATTAGGGACCTCCTCTGCGAAAAGATGGGCAGGGGTGCAAAAAGGGATGGGAACGTTGTAGAGAACAAGTGCAGTTTCACTGTTCTGGAGCAGACACAGGAGGGTAAGCCAGAAATGTCCACTGAGGGTTGGAGCTGAAGTGAGGACGATGACAGCTAGGACAGAGTATGTGGTATCGCTTCTCCGCCTCTTGACTAAGATCAAGTGTAGTATCTGTTCTTATCAGTTTTAATATGTGATATAACCTCTATCCGAGGACAATATATTAAGTGGGTTTTTGGAGCAGGGAGCGGGAATAGGAGCTTGCTTCGTTCATTCCACGGACAGACCTTGTCTGCAGTACTTCCAGGAACAGTGCATCCCTCTCAGGGAAAAGAGACAGTATGAACAACAGACTTGTTACATCTTTTTCAGTGTCATCCTCGTCTTTTTGTTACTGAGTACATAGGAGGGTCTCTGTTTTGTTTTGCCAATGTGTGTTTTTCTATTTTCTTGTTTTGGTAGTTTACTTAGGAGTACTAATTCTTGTAAAGGTTATATCCATGCACCAATTTTATGCGAAATCTCTCTTTTATCTTTGAAAGCACTGTAATAAGGCTGTGTCCAGCTCCCTTAGTAGTTTTGTTTGTCTTTAGCACTGGATTATTTCTTCTATCCTGTGACAAGGCACTGCTCTCAACACCTAACAGAACTTAGAAACAGTTCAGGGTTGCTGGAGTCCCCAGGGGAAGACTCTCAGCTCTAGGAATTTTTAAAATTCAGGATTCCACCCAAGTGTGCTTTTCCTAAAAGAAGAAACCGAAGAACAGAAAGGTTAAGAAGCTTGTCCAACGTCACCCAGATAGAAATTAGCAGAAGTGAGCTGTGAACGATCATTGTACAACAGAAAACATCTACATTTCCTGGGCCTCGTACCCAAGAAGGAAACTGTCATTTGATTATCTGATAAGGGCGCTGAAACTGGCAATCTCACCCCACCTTTCATCCTTTGCCTTCGCCAGGAAAGGAGTTGATGAACAAATGGGAAGGAGGTAGTGGGGCAAGTTGGGGTGAAGGAAGGGGCCCAGTTTGTCAGGACAGCACCAGACTGTGGGCCTACCCAAGTCCAGTATCCTTTAACTGGGAATGCCAGTCCCCACATCCAAACCCAGCCTGGGGCCCAGGGAGACTTCCTCCATTAGTGACCATTTATTTCCTGGCAGCCTCACCTCTGCAGCCCTTTCTGTCCACAAGATCACAGCCCAGGACACAATGCATTGGAGGATACATTACAGAGAATAGTTGAACATTCTTACTTTGAGCATTCACAGATGGAGCGCCTGCCAGGTTGACGGTCTCAGTGCCTGCCCTCATGGAATGGACATTATAAAGAGGAAGAGGGAGAGACACACGATGACTCAAGAGGCTCATTTCAGATAGTGATACAAGCCATGAAGGAAAACAGGGAAATGTGCTGGAGAGTGACTGGGGGGAGAGCTATTTTACATGGGGAAGGGGTGCTCATGAAGGCCTCTCCAATGGTGACATCAGAGGCAAGATTAATTGGCCAAGAGTCAAGGAAGCATTGCAGACAGAAGGACAGACTAGCTGGGACTTATCTAGTTCCTCCCATTGGCTCCCTGTCCTGGGTCAGATTCCAGTTGCTGAGTGATGTTCTTCCTCAGAGCTGTCTCCCCACCAGACTAAGCGCTGAGCCCAGAAGCTGGTTCTTCACAGCCACAGCTCCGCAGTGCCCAGCACTGTGCCTGTCACACAGTAGGCAATCAGGAAATCTTCCATGGCTCATGACTACATGATGGATTGACTAAATGTACTCAAGGGTTTCCTTGAGTGTGGGAACCAAGCACCCGGCCTCAGCTGGGAGTTTCCTGGTCTGCGGTCCCTGAGACCTTGGGGCTTGGGAGGGATACCTATAAAACCCTGCACTTTCAGGCAAGGTCTGGGTGGTACTGAACCCTCAGGACTTTACTGGAGAGGAGAGAGTTCTTGGAGGAGAAAATCAGAGGCCATGGGAAGGATGGCACTGGAGAGAGAGGCTGCCCCCCAACCCAAAGCCTGGTGGGCTGAACCCTGGGCTGAGAGTCATCATGAGTCCTGTCCTGTCAAGTAAACTACTTTGGAAAAGCTACCTCGCCCTGGGAGCCTTGGTTTCCTAAGCATGTAATGAGGGGCTTAGGTGATTCCAGGTCCCTTTCCCCAAAACAGCCCAGGCTCTGGAGTAGGGGAAAGTACAGGATGGGTGGAGCTCACCTAGGAAGCAGCTGAGGGCATCCTCGTCTCCACTGCATCCCAGCGGAGTACCTGAGTGCACAACTGAAGGGAGGAGAGGAGTCTCAGGAGGAGGGATGGGAGGGGAGAGGAGGTCCCGGAGCGGCTTCAGACTGGAAATCACAAAGACACGTATTTCAAATCCCAGCTATGCTTCCTCAAGAATAAAGCAAAGAGGGAATTCCCTGGTTGTCCACTGGTTACAATTCTCTTCTTCCACAGAACAGGGAAGAGGTTACATCCCTGATTAGGGATCTAACATCCCAAGGCCAAAAAAAAAAAAAAGGAGAAAACACAACTTACTACATAGAATGAGTGTGGAAAAAAAAAGAAAGAAAGAGAAAGAAAAACTGTTGGAAGGGGCTCTTAGAGACCCCTTTCTCCCGGCAGGGGCCCATTCAGAGGCAACTCATCCAAAACCAAGTCCCAGAGCCCAGGCCAGGTCTGAGAATGAGCAGATGCTGCCCCCTGGTGGATGAGTCTGTCACTGCCTCAGTCTGAAGAAAAGGGGAGGACTCAAGTTGGACGGGTTCCTTTCCTTCCTGCTTTTTTGTTTGTTTCTTTTTCTGGCCATGCCACCCAGTTTGTGGGATCTTAAAACCCCTACCAGGTATTGAGCCCTTGCCCTTGGCAGTGAAAGCGTGGAGTCCTAACAACTGAACTGCCAGGGAATTCCCCTGGAGTCTTCCTTTCAGACAGGGCCTTCACTACAGTTTGAGGTGGGGAATGGAAAAGCCACCCTTTTCAAGTTGTTTTTGTGGAGGTAAGAGCAGATGTAAGTGAACATTTTCTGAGCAGTAAATCTGATTTCAGTGACATTTCTTATGCTTTTACTGAGGGCCTAATAGCTGGTGCTGGGAAGGCAGAGGCAGGAGGAGGCTGGAGGGTGGAGAAGGTTGTGAAGAGGCAGTTGCAGCAGGTTTTGGTGTCTTAGGAGATAGATCCACACGGGGACAGATTCCAGCACCCATCTGCACAGGAGACTGGCACGTGGGGAGACCTTGGCCTCAGGAGGGGCCTTGGGTAACAAGCAAGAAACAGCCAGAGCCCCAAAAGGGTGACAGTGTCATGGGAGCAACAGCCTGCAGCTGCGAGGAAGGAATAACAAGCCCACCAGAAGACAGAGAGGTGAGCTGAGGGGACAGAGCCAGGCTCAGGCTGTGCAGGGACCTCGCTGCCGGCCAGTTATCCGAGCTGAGGGACTCTTTAGAGCTTTCACAACAGGGGCCAATCCCCAGAGACTTTATAGGTTTGATTAAAAAAAAAAGAATTTACTTTCTGGCTGTTTTGGGTCTTAGTTGTGGCACACAGCCTCCTGAGCACTCACAGTTAGTTGCCTCAAAGTATGGGGGAATCTTAGTTCTGGACCAGGAATCAAAGTGTGTCCCCAGCATAGGGAGGCGAATACTTAACCACTGGACCACCAGAAAGTCCCTGATTCAGCTTCTTGATTTCATAGATTTCTGTCAAGTCATCCATGTTGTTGACCCACATTGGGAGGGGGCATAGCTTTGAATGGATGCATGCTCAAATTTGGGAATTTGCCAGTATCATGTAGAGGACTTGATAAAAACAGAGCTGGGGCCTCCTTCCAGAATTTCTGATCAAGAAATTTGAAGAATTTGTCAGGCCCAAGCTAAGCACATATACATTGTCTCATTGGACCCTCAACCATTCATTCAACACTTATTCATCAAGAGTCAAGTACATTCAGAGGACTACCATAGGTGCTGATAATACACCTGCAAACAAAATATTTACCATCAAGGTTAAAGACAATACAGCACTAATGGCTGTATATTTGTGAATATACCTACATTCTATGTGTCTGTGTCCATATCTACATGTATATCTATGCCATGTGAGCATCATGGGTGTCAAAACAACTTGGCAGCCCAGCAGAAACATAAGACCAGGGAAAGTGGGATATGAAACAGGAATCCTCAGGGTAAGTAGGTAGAGATAGTTCGCAAGACTGTAAATTGGAATCAAATACCTATTTTACAGGCAAGAAGTAGCTTTCCCTAGGGTATACTCATCAAGACATCCCGCTGTGCTTTCATTTCCAAGGGTAGATTCACTAGTACCCTCATCAGAGAGGCATTCTTATCATCCCCAGTTAGAATATCAGGACCCCTGGTTTAAAAAACCTGAGGCCCCAGTGGTTAGCAGGATGCTTGAATGCAAATCCTGACTTCTTTTCACATTAGGCAAGTTTCTTAGCCTCTCAGCACTTCTATCTGTAACAATGCTTTCAAGAAATATATGTCACAAACATAACTTTTTTCCCTTTAGACCATGCTGTGTGACTTTTGGGATCCCAGTTTTCCAACCAACGATGGAACCTGAGCTCCTGCCCTGAAAATATTGAAGGACCACCAAGGAATTCCCTTGCCCAGGTAAATTTAAATATTCTTAGGCATATAAAAAAATAAAGAGAAGTGAGTGAAATTAAGTTTACTATGTTCTTTACTCAATATATCTCAAATTCTCTGGTGGTCCAATGGTTAGAACTCCATGCTTTCCAATGACAAGGGCAGGGTTCTGGTAAACCCTTACAAAACCCCCCCAAACAAAACCCAATATCTAAAATATCATTTCAATATGTAATTAATATCATCATTATAGAGATTTAGTACAATTTTTAATACTATGTCTTTGAAATCCCATGTGTTTTTTCCACTTTCAGTACCTCTGAATTGGGAGGAACCACCACCTTCCTCCTCTAGGGGATCTTTCCGACCAGGAATGGAGCCCGTGTTTTCTGTATTGCAGGCAGATTCTTGACAATCTGAGCCATCAGCGAAACCCACAGCTGAGGAGGAGGCGCAGGGAAACGAGGTCCTAGGCGGAGGGAGCTTTCGGTAGGAAGCCCGGGATCGGTTTGGTGCCTAGAAGCAGCGAAGGACGCGGGCGCTGGAGTTGGAGTGAGCCCCTCCCGCGGCCCGGCCCCGCCCTCCGCACCCACACGCCCCCTCCCTTCCCCGCTGTGGGCCATCCGCCTTCCGCCTGGCAGGGAAGCCCCCTCCAGACACCCGACCCTACGAAGCCCCTCTCTCCGCAGGCGGAGGCCTGTGTAACACACTGCAGTCCGGCCGTTTCTAGCGAGTCAGCCTTGCGACCTTGTCTTCAGGAAAACTCTCGGCCAACAGCTCCTCTCACAGGTCCCTCTCGCCGCCCACCCCGCACCCCCTCCGGTCGGGTCTCTCCTCTCCCCCAGCACCAAGGAGGAGCTCCCCTGCCGCAGCCCCGAGGCCGTCCCCGGGGCGCTGCGGTCCCGCCGGAGCCACGCCTTCTTGGCGACGGAGGGCGGGGCATGCAGATTCGAGACGGCGCTTCTGCCCGAGAACGACAAAGCTGCGGCAGATGCGGAATTTCTCTTTCACAGTGTGGAGGATAAAGCCTGCTCGAGAGTCTGGTGTGGTGGCGCCATAGCACTGTCAACGAGGCCAAGGCAGGGCGCCCTGGAGTGAGCGGGGACCCGGGTCACACTGTGTGTAACAGGCTCGACAGCAGGACGGTGACAGCGACGGGCGGTGGCGCGGTATCGCTTCTCGGCCTTTTGGCTAAGATCAAGTGTAGTATCTGTTCTTATCAGTTTAATATCTGATACGTCCTCTATCCGAGGACAATATATTAAATGGATTTTTGGAGCAGGGAGTTGGAATAGGAGCTTGCTCCGTCCACTCCACGCATCGACCTGGTATTGCAGTACCTCCAGGAACGGTGCACCCCCTCGGGGACATTTATGGAAGTACCCAAAGACAGAAACTGGCCCTTTCCTGTTCAGGACTGGCTTATCTCAGGGAGTTTTTCAGGCCGGTTTCCTTGCTTCGCCAGTGATTCTGACAAGTGCCGAAGGATGAGTAAGGAACTAAGTTCAATGAGGGTAAAATGCCAAGGCTGCAACTCATTAAAGCTCACTTGCTTCTTTTCTAAAGCTAAAACCGTGTCTAGCTCTTTAGGAGGTTCTCTATTTCACAGTCTCTTGAGCGCAACTTGGTGGCATTCACTCAAACCTCAAGCTCTCAGACAGTTCCTTCTGCCTGACATGAGACCTTCTGTCTCTCCCTACCTCTGCCTTCTGTTGATGTCTCTAAGGTTACTTCTGTATTCACCTTTTCTGACTTCAGGCAGTTGCTGCTGAAAGCCAGCCACCAAGATCCACCTGGAGTCTAGGTAAAAATGATGGGCTTTCCGCTCAGAGTGTGTCGTTTGTCCTGGGATTTCATTTATGCGGGTGGACTGACTGACAAAGAGAGATCAGTACCACTGGAGAAGTTGTGTTATTACTTGGAGTTAATTCTCACTAGAAAAGAAAGGTCCTAAAGTAAGAGCCACTGTGTCTCTTGGATACACAAGGCAGGCTGTTCAGGTCAGCACAAAGTTCAAATCATGTATAAACCAGAATGACTTCCCCATATTATCTTCTTTCCTCCTTTTCCATTGACTCTGGCATCGACCAAGATCTAGGCCCAGGTGCTGGGTGCACCAGGAATGGTGCACTCCGTCCGTCGGGGACACTTACTGAAGTACCCAAAGGCAGAAACTGGCTCTTCCCTGGATTCAGCTAGATCAGGAACTTATTTTCTTTGCAAGTGTACTTTCGTGGGATCTGCTTAAACCTCTATTTTTCTGAAAGAACCCCCTTCTGCTTTACTGTCTGCGAACAGAGTCTTCCCGCCCTCATTTCTCACTTGATACAAGCTACAAAAGGAGCTGGTGTCCAAGCTCCCACTTGATATCCCCAGTCCCTCCTGATGCCATCTTCAACATAGAACCAGGACACTAGCTTGAATCTTGTTTCTATGCCCCCGCCTTCTCTTGAGGTCTCTAACATTTCTCCTGTGTTCTGTTTTCTATCCTCAAGCAGTTCCTGCTGAAAAACACCGACTTCCACCTGGAGTCTAGGTTAAAATGATGGGCTTTCCACTCAGCGTGTCGGTTGTACTGGGATTTCATTTATCCAGGTGACTGATTGATAGGAGAGGACAGTGCCACTGACAGAGCTGTATTATTACTTAGAGTTCTGAAGAGAAGAGGGCCTAAAGTAGGACCAGCATGTCTTTTGGATACGCAAGGCAGCCTGTTGAGGTTAGCACAAAGTTCAAATCATGAATAAGCCAGAACCAACGACTCTTGCTGAGAGTGAAGGAGGAGAGTGAAAAAGTTGGCTTAAAACTCTATTAATATCGGACTTCCCTGCTGGCCCAGTGATTAAGAATCCCCTCGCCAATCACAAGAGATTGGTTCAACTCCTGGTCCAGAAAGACTCCACGTGCCGTGGGGCAACTAAGCCTCTTTGACACAAGGTTGAGTCTGTACTCTAGAGCCCATAAACCACAATTAGAGAGTAGCCCCCGCTGGCACCTAGAGAAGCCTCAGGCATCAACGAAGACCCAGTGCAGTCAAAAATAAATAATTTTTTGAAAAAACTCAATATTAAAAACACTGAGGCCATGATATCTGGTCCCACAACTGCATTGCTAACTGAACGGGGGAAATGTGGAAGCAGTGACAGATTTCCTCTTCTTGGGCTCTAAAATCACTGAGGATGGTGACTGCAGCCAGGAAATCAGAAGACGATTGCTACTTGGCAGGAAAGCTATGACAAAGCTAGACAGTCTGTTAAAAAGCAAAGACATCACTTTATCGACAATGGTCCCTGTAGTCAAGGCTATGGTCTTTCCAGTAGTCACGTATGGATGTGAGAGCTGGACTGTAAAGATGTCAGAGGCCAAAGAATTTTGGAACTGTGGTGCTGGAGAAGAACCCCGAGAGTCCCTTGGAAAGCAAGATCAAACCAGTCCATCTGAAAGGAAATCAACCCTGAATTCTCCTTGGAAGGACTGATGCTGAAGCTGAAGCTCCAGTACTTTGGCCACCTGATGGGAAGAACCCACTCACTGGAAAAGACGGTGATGCTGGGAAAGACTGAAGGCAGGAGAAGGAAGACAGAGGATGAGATGGTTGGATGGCATCACCACATCAATGGACATGAGCCTGAGCAACTCCAGGAGATACCGAAGGACAGGGAAGTCTGGGCATGATGCAGTCCACGGGGTTGCAAAGAGTCAGACCGGATTTAGCAACTGAACAACACCAAACAACACCACTTCCTCTGTGCCAGGACATTTTAGTACATAGATGTTTGGAGCAGGGAGTTAGAATAGAACCTTAGAACCTTGCCCTGTCCACTCCACCCACTGACCTGGTATTGTAGTAACTTGAGGAGTAGTGCACCCGTCTCAGGGGAAAGAGAAAATATGAACAGACTTGTTACATCTTTTCTCAGCGTGCTCCTCGTTTTGCTCTGGGTACCTGTCTCATGGGAAGGTTTCTGTTTTGTTTTACCAACGTGTGATTTTCCGTTTTCTTGTAGCGGCGGTATACTTAGGAGTACTGTTTCTTGTGAGGGTCGTATCCATGGCCAATATTATGCAGATTTTATTTTAACTTTCAAACCACTGTAAAGGAGGTGTCCAGATCATTTACTAGTTTTCTTTATTTTTAACACTGGATTATTTCTTCTATCCTGTGGACAAGGCCCTGCTCTCAACACCGAACAGATCTCTGAAACAGTGTGGGCTTACTGGAGTCCCCAGGGGAAGACGCTCAGCTCTAGGAATTTTTTAAATTCTCGGCTCCACCCAAGTGTGATTTCCCTAAAAGAAGATACTGAAGAACAGAAAGGTTAAGTAACTTGTGAAAGTCACACAGCTGGAAATTAGCTGAAGTGGGCTGTGAATAATATCTGTGAAGCAGATATTGTTTCCTCCACAACCTTTGAAACTTCCTAGCTCCTCTCTTACATCTCCTGGGCCTCTCACCCGAGAGGGAACCAGTCACTTGATTAAAGATAAGAGAGCTGAAACTGGCAATCTCTCCCCTATCCTTCATCCTTTGCCTTTGCCAGGAAAGGCGTTGATAAACAAATGGCGAGGAGGAGGTGGGGCAAAGTGGGGGTGAAGGAGAGGACCCAGTTTGTCAGGGCAACACTGGGGCCTGGCCCAGTCCAGTCTCCTTTAAATGGGAATTCCAGTCCCCGTCTCCACATCCAGCCTGGAGCCCTGGAGCCTTCCTCCATTAATGACCACTTTGTTTCCTGGCAGCCTCATTTCTGCAGCCCTTGTCCACAAGATCACAGCCCAGGACAGAGTGCATTGGAGGATTCCCTAGAGAGAACATTCAAACATTCTTACTTTGAGCCTTCATGGGTGGAGTGCCTGCCAGGTTGAAGGCCTCAGTGAAATGCATAAGGACCTGGTCTCATAGAGTGGACATTATAACGAGGAGTAGGGAGAGGCAGACAGTGACTCAGGAGGGTCATTTCAGATGGTGACATGAGCCATCGAGGAAAACAAACAGGGAAATGTGCTGGAGAGTGACTGGGGGGAGAGCTACTTTACACGGAGGAGGGGGTTGCTCATGAAGGCCTCTTCAGTGGTGACATCAGAGGCAAGTTGAAGTGGCCAGGAGGCAAGGAAGCATTCCAGACAGAAGGACAGACTAGCTGGGACCTACCTGCTTCCTCCCACTGGCTCCTGACCTGGGTCAGATTCAGCTGCCGAGTGGAGGTTCTTCCTCAGAGCTGTCTCCCCACCAGACTAAGCGCTGAGCCCAGAAGCTGGTTCTGCACAGTCACAGCTCCGCAGTGCCCAGCGCTGTGCCTGCCACACAGTAGGCATTCGTGAAACCCTCCATGATTCATGACTACATGATGGATGGACTAAACGTACTCAAGGGTTTCCTTGAGTGTGGGAACCAAGCACCCGGCCTCAGCTGGGAGTTTCCTGGTCTGAGGTCCCTGACACCTTGGAGCTTGGGAAGGATACCTATAAAACCCTGCACTTCCAGGCAGGGTCTGGGTAATCCTGAACCCTCAGGCCTTTACTGGGGAAGAGGGATTTCTTAGAGGAGAAAAAGAGAGTCCATGGGAGGGATGACACTGGGGAGAGAGGCCCCCCCCTCAAGGCCTGGTGGGCTGAACCCTGGGCTGAGACTCATCATGAGTCCTGTCCTGACAAGTGAACTGGCTTGGAAAAGCCACCTCTCCCTTTGCAGCCTTGGTTCCCTCAGCATGTAATGAGGGGCTCAGATGATTCCCCAGGACAGCCCAGGCTCTGGAGTAAAGGAGGGTACAGAGTGGGGAAGCTCACCTAGGAAGCAGCTGAGGACATCCTTGTCTCCACTGCATCCCAGCGGAGTACCTGAGTGCACAACTGAAGGGAGGAGAGGAGTCTCAGGAGGAGGGATGGGAGGGGAGAGGAGGTCCCTGGGCAGCTTCCGCCAGGGAATCACAAGGACACGTATTTCAGATTCCAGTTTTGCTTCCCCAAGAATGAATTGGAGAGGGAATTCCCCAGTGGTCCAGGCTTACAATTCTGTTCTTCCACTGTACAGGACACAGGTTACATCCCTGGTTTGGGAAGTAAGATGCCAAGGCCAAGAAAAGAAAGAATAAAATGGGGAAAGCGGTTGAGACTATACGTTAAAATCTTGATTATGTTTCTAGTTTGTGCACATCCAGACGGTGAAGGCTGGGTATTCCACTAACTGAAATGTGGCAACTTAGAGGCGCTGTGGTTTTTTTATACGTCGACCTATTTTAGATGCGCATCAGTATGAAATTGTCTCAATCTAATCTTGGATGTTTAATTTTATGAATGGAGGCACTTTACTAGGTCTAGAATATTTTTTTAAAAGCCTCTCAACTGAACTTAAAACAGGCGATTTTATGGAGTGTCAGCAAAATGATTATTTTATTGTTTGGAACACGTAATATTTCTGTTGTCCTTGCCCAGTTATAATTCCAGGTGAAGCCCTGCCTGGTAGCATCATTAAGTGAAGAGTTGGTATACTTTACACTGTTAGTTTGGGTGGGTGTTCCCTCCATTGTGGCTTGTTTTTGTCCTAGCTGGAGATGTATAAAATGTACAATTTGTAGGTAGGTAGAATACAGCTCATGTACCAGATCTTTTTATTACTGAGTGAGCAACTACGGTTTTCCCCCTTTAAAAATAGTGCCAAGTTATAATCATATTGTGTATACACTTAAGTGGTGCTGTTTAAAAAAATTGTGTATTTATACAGTAACAGTATATGAATTCATTAACCTTGCCTTTAACTCTACTACTTGGCTTTTTCTTTATGCCCCTTCCTATTCAGTTCTTCAAAAATATGTCATACTTAAGATCAAAAGGGTGCAGTATTAATTCACTCTGAATTGCTGATTTCAGGGTCTGTAAATAGTGGCAATCTCATTCCAGCTGTTGCCTCTCAGACTAAATGTAAGATGGAATCCTTTGAGCTCCGGAAGGTTAATGGAACAACTGGTGTTAGGAAGGTTCCACTCTGGACTATGTCAGATTTAAACCATGATAGAAGTTCTCAAACCAGTATAAGCACCAATTAAAGGAACTGACTGGGGGTAAGGGGGGTAAGACAAGAAACACAGCCTCCCTCTATTGTGTTCCCATTCTCATTGGAAAATGACAACCCTCCTGGAATCCCACCAGTTATTTTCATCAGTGAGATTAAATCTAATCCTTGGGCAAAAAAAAAAAAAATAAAATAAAAAATAAAATGGGGAAGACACAACCTACTACCTAAAATGAATGTTTAAAGAAAAACTGTGGGAAAGGGCCCCTTAGAGACACTGTTCTCCCGCCAGGGGCCCATTCAGAGGCAACTCATGCAAAACCACGTCCCAGAACCCAAGCCCCGGAGGAAACGGAGCAGATGCTGCCCCCTGGTGGATCGGTCTGTCACTGCCCAAGTCTGAAGCAAAGTGGTGTGACGTTGGACAGGTTTCTTTCCCTCCTTCTGGGATTTTTTGTTCGTTTCTTTTTCTGGCCATGCCACCGGGCCTGTGGGATCTTAGATCCCTTACCGGGTATTGAACCCTTGCCTTTGGCAGTGAAAGCGTGGAGTCCTAACCTCTGAACTGCCAGGGAAAACCCCTGGAGTCTCCTTTTCAGGCAGGACCTTCAGAACAGTTGGAGGTTGGGAATGGAAAAGTCACCCTTTTCTAGTTGTTTTTGTGGAGGTATGATCAGATGTATGATCTCCAAGTCAGGCTTCAGCAATACGTGAACGGTGAACTTCCAGATGTTCAATCTGGTTTTACAAAAGGCAGAGGAACCAGAGATCAACTTGCCGATATCCGATGGATCATCAAAAAAGCAAGAGGGTTCCAGAAAAACATCTATTCTTGCTTTATTGACTATGCCAAAGCCTTTGGCTGTGTGGATCACAATAAACTGTGGAAAATTCTGAAAGAAATGGGAATACCAGACCACCTGAGCTGCCTCTTAAGAAACCTGTATGCAGGTCAGGAAGCAACAGTTAGAACTGCACATAGAACAACAGACTGGTTCCAAATAGGAAAAGGAGTACGTCAAGTTTGTATATAGTCACCCTGCTTCTTTAACTTGTATGCAGAGCACATCATGAGAAACGCTGGGCTGGAGGAAGCACAAGCTGGAATCAAGATTGCTGGGAGAAATATCAATAACCTCAGATATGCAGATGACACCAGCCTAGAGGCAGAAAGTGAAGAAGATCTAAAAAGCCTCTTGATGAAAGTGACAGAGGAGAGTGAAAAAGTTGGCTTAAAACTCAACACTCAGAAAACTAAGATCGTGGCATCCGGTTCCATCACTTCATGGCAAATAGATGGGGAAACAGTGGAAAGAGCGGCTAGCTTTATTCTTCTGCACTTCAAAATCACTGTAGATGGGGACTGCGGCCATGAAATTAAAAGACGCTTACTCCTTGGAAGGAAACTTATGACCAACCTAGACAGCATATTGAAAAGCAGAGACCTTACTTTGCCAACAGAGGTCCGTCTAGTCAAGGCTATGGTTTTTCCAGTGCTCATGTATGGATGTGAGAGTTGGACTGACTATAAAGAAAGCTGAGCGCCGAAGAGCTGATGCTTTTGAACTGTGGTGTTGGAGAAGACTCTTGAGAGTCCCTTGGACTGCAAGGAGATCTAACCAGTCTGCCGGGAGCCGGCACACGAGATCCCACCCATGACAAGGTCATGAGGAGAAAACCTGACAGGCAAGGCGGATCAGGTTTTCAGGGATTCCGAAAAGCTGCCCCTGGCGCTCACCTTAAAGATGATATCTGTCTTTTGATGCTTGCTTCAATAGACTACTTCCTAATTTCTGTGACACAGGCAGAAGGCCTTCCTCAATCTCTTCCCAAATAAGCATCAATTTACAACTTTATTTATTTTTTTTTTTCAGGATTGAAAATTTTATTTTATTTTATTTTTTTATTTTTTTTCCATTTATTTTTATTAGTTGGAGGCTAATTACTTTACATCATTGCAATTTACAACTTTAATCAATAAGTTTCCCAGGTGGTGGTATTTTATGAGATTATCCAGCGTGAAAGGAGTGTTTTAATTTAAACTCCTTTGCTGGTATTTTAGTTTGTTTGGCAAATGCATTTATGCCCTTGGGACTAATATGCATGACTGCTCACAATACCCTAATCAGAAAACAGCATGAAGAACCTGATCATATAAAGGCCCTACTAGACATAGAGCCTTTTGGGGGGGGTAAAGGAGTCCTATTAGAAAACATAAGAAAAGTTATTCTAAAGGTGGTTATTGGGTTAACGTTTGCTTGCTGTGTTTTTGCTCTTAATGTGCTAAGGTTGTGTTATAGAAACCATTGTTAATATAGTTATAGATCTAGAAAAATAAGAGCTTAGCCCTAGTGTGGTAACAATGAGATGGTTGTTAATTGTCACCAAGGAGTGCTAGGCAGAGGCTGCCTCACCAAAGTCGCAGAGTCAGTGTGGGGTCAACTTCTTAGATAAACTCAACTGACAACTTCTGCAGAAGGATTAATTTTTGTGTTAACAAGGTTACACTTCTACTCTGTACTGTTGCCCTATGAGACGGCTACCTTTCAGTTAAGGTCACCATAGAAACGGAAAATAGGTTTACATTCACCTGACCTGCCTAAAATGTTAATAGGCCCCAAGGCCAGAAGATAATGTACAAGACCTTCATAAACAAAGAAATATGCAGAAAACACCCTGGTTTTGTGAAGCACAAGCTGATGTAATGTTAAACTATCTTCCCCTTAGAAGTGTACTCACTTAGGGTATAAAAGCTACGGTAAAAAGTAAAGCATTGCCAGACCCTGCCAGACCCTGCAAGCACCCCCGTCTGGTCACTCCCTCTCTCTTTCTCTCTCTCTCTCCCTCGCAGACTTGG